CTTATAAGGGCTTTTATATTTTATTTTCAAATATAAGGACTTATAAGCACTTGTAAGGACCACTACAAACCCAGAGGCTTTGATGACAAACATTGTGCAGATCGTTAAAATCCCCTGATTGACTGAATTAACCAAAATGTCATGGATAAACATAACACATTTATAGAAAATGGAAAGAATTATTATTATTACAGTACAAAGTCCGAGATCCAGACGTCCAATATCCGGAATGATATAAAATCCCGATCTCAAAGCCACCAACAACCTTTTTTTTATTTTTCTATGCTTTACGCATGCACATTTGATTTCCCCCCCCCATAATAAAACATGCGGAGAGTTCCTATTCTTAATTCACTTTGCCACTAAATAAAATACCTCGTTACTGAAGAAACAACCATTTTAGAATAAATTTGTGTGATCAATAATTTCACTCCATAGCTGCGTATTTGCTTGGCACAAATCTCAAACCGAAACATTCTATATAGAAATACAGAAACACAAACAAACACATTTTACACTAACTAGTATTTTATATCCCTGAAGTCCAACATGGCGAGTCGCTATTTATTATATTTGGCTTTCATAACCGCATGCTTCTTAGCACATGACAACTTCTGCAATGACTCATGCAGTGATGTATAAACAATTTTTAATCGAATATCAAAGAGTATGGTAAACTTTTCTGTTGACATTACCCTTGGCAATGATTACAGATTTAAGCTAAATGCACTAAGAAATGCTGATGAGGAAAAATTTAATAAAAATTTCTTTTCGTATGCTAAAAATAGATTTTGTTAATGATACTCACAGGCCAAAAAATTATATACAGTTCTATTTGAATTAAGAACAACTGATATGTTATTCACATAAACCCGGAACCAGTGCCAGAACTCGTATGGCCGCACTGAGGATAGAATTTATGGAAGACAAAATTTTTGGAATTTAGAGAAGCAACAAGCAACAAAATTTTTAGAATTTAGGGACAGCACTGGGTCCCAAAATTTCGAAGTGACAAAAATTTAGAACTTAAGGGAGGTGGTTGTTAGCAGAATTGAGGACTCGCAGAGACTGCACGAGGCGGTAAGATGTGAGGCGCTGGCCCTTGATTAGCCGTAAACATACGTGGGAATTTATTTATTCAGGACTCAGATAAGCCTTAAGCATTTGCAAAAATCAGATGTAAGTATAATAAATAAGTGAAAAAATACAATTCAGGTTTAATTATCTCAGTGGGCGATAGAAGCAAGACAAAATTTAGCAAAACAACTTGTCTTCAGTCGACAATCTGATGATAGCTGATACTGAAGCTGCTGAAGAGTTTGCAGATGAATTTATTGAATTAACTAATGGTGAAAAGTTTATCTCAATAAATTTACAACACTGATTAAATTTGTTTTTTTTCTGGCACTATGTTCTGCAAAATACCTTAGCAACATCTACCGAAATGGCTCCAACTGGTGTCAAAGATTCCAAAGTGAAACTAACAATTTCAGCATGTGCAAATGCTGCAGGAATGCACAAGCATAAACCTTTTTTAATCGGAAAAAATACAGGACCTCGGTCATTTAACCCTCTGGCTGCTCATCCTGCGATTTCCACAGGCAACTCAAATGTAGCAAAATCTGCTCATCTCTCAATTTCCACGGGCATGTGTTTTTCCTCCTTTATTGAGGAGTGACCATGTTTTTTTCCCCCGTTTAACCACTGAAATAAATTATATACAGTATTAGACATTTAGTTTACATTTTGGCCAATAGATGTTGTTAGTTGTCCATTAAATTGCGGCATTTGAAAGCACGTGGTATTACTGATCAAAATTAACTTTCTGAAGTGTTTTCTTACAGAAATGGCTGCTAGAAAACGCTCCGCGATTTACAAAGAGTATATTCCTGAAGACTTATCAGATTCTGAAAGCGATATAGATTTTTTGGATTGCTCCTCAAATAGCGATGAGTCTGACCATGATTCAATAAACTTGCAAAGCGTTAGGCAGTTTTGCGAAATTTATATGAAGACTATTCCTCCTCCAGTTTCTTTTCGTGGAAATCTGGGAATTACTGTGGATATAGCTAACAATGCAAGTACAGTACAATGTCTTTAATCTGGACTCATCGGGACTTCGGCGATTCCGGATTAGGGGTTTTTCCGGATAATAGATCATCAATTTAAATCTGGTAAGATGGCATACTGAAATTATAAAATTAAAAATATGAAACCGTAATTTATGAAATAAAGAGCAATTATGATCTTTAGATCGCGCATGTGTAAACGTATTATGTGCATGCGTAAATGCATATGCACATGCGTGAAGGTATTATGCACATGCGTAAACGCTACGCATGCACAGAAAGTTTGTAGCTTTGAGGTCTGGATTATAGATCATCCGGAATAAAATTTTGTACTGTATATTGAATTATTTCGAACTTTTTTTTTTATGATCAAATATTACAAAGGGTAGTCCAAGAAACCAATAGATATGTTGAACAATGTATCCATAAAACAATTTGCAAAGAAGGATCACACTGGAAAAAATGGACAGACACGAATGTTGAAGAACTAAGACTATTTTTTGCAGTTTTGTTACTCCAAGGAGTCATAAAGAAGCTAGAACAAGAGCATTATTGGTCTAAGCACCAAATATTATTCACACCAATTTTTGCAAAAGTAATTGGAAGAAATAGGTTTTTATTCCTCATGAAGTTTTTTCATTTACTAATAATGAGGGATTTGATAAAGACCAACACCCATGGCCGAGACTGAATAAAATTTATGAACTAATGGAGCATCTTCAATGCCTATTTTGAGAAGTCTATATACCAGGAGAAAATCTTAGTTTAGATGAGAGTTTCATGCAGTTCAGAGGCAGGCTCAAATGAAAAATGTTTATTGCTAAAAATAAGAGCAAGATTTGGCTTGAAGTTTTTCATTCTTTGTGAAGCAGAAAGTGGATACATTTCAGATTTCCTCATATACACAGGTGATGGAACAGTATATAATCCGAAATATAGCCAATATCCAGTATCTACCAAAATTGTTTCACACTTGATGGATCGATTCATGGGAAAAGGTTATTATGTCACTATTGATAATTTTCAAGTCTCCACAGCTTGCAGACACCTTAGTTACAGAAAAGACGGACACTTATGGGAAAGTGAATAAAAACAGAAAAGACCTCCCAGTCAATTTTTCAAAAGATAAAATCCCCAAGGGTGAAATTGTTGCTTACCAAACAGATAAAGTTATGGCCCTGAAGTGGCAGGACAAGAAGATACTATTCATGATGCAAGCTCTTATTTGGTGACAGGCAAATTTAAAAAGACTGTTATGAAACCAGTTGTCATGAAACCAATTGTCATTTGTGACTATAACAATACAATGGGTGGCGTCGATTTATGCGACCAAGAAATGTCCTACAGGAACAACAGGGAAAGTATTATATCAAAATTTTCAGGCAGTTTTTAGATAAATTTTTGTGGAATGCCTATGTACTTTACAAAAAGCAAAACCCAACACAAAATATAAAGCTTTTGGAATTTCGTTTGCAAATAGTTGAAGAAAGTATCCAAAAGTATGGTAGAGATAAAAGCGGTTGTCCTGGAAGACCGCGAGTTTTACTCCGAACCCTTTGAGATTGACAGCTCATCATTTTGCAAGCCACATACCACCTAACCCCATAAAAAGAGAGCCTCGAAGATAGTGTGCTGTTCAAGAAAAGAAGCAAATGGAAAAAAAATTCACAAAGAAACATGAATCTGGTGCAAAGACCGTAAAGTTGGACTTTGCCTTGAACTCTGTTTGTCTGATAATTTTAGAACTGCATAATGTGGATTTTCAACAATAGCTTCTTTTGATAAGTCCTTGTGTGCAAAGGATGATTGTCTAGAGCAAGCATCATCTTTGAGTCTGAAATGAAATTTCTGTTTTTCTTCACTTTTCTACACTTCTGTCAAACTAGCCCATATACACCATAAATTTTATGAGTAACTAGCATTTTTCCTTTTTTAAAATAAAAGAGCATAATACAATGAAAATGAACTTTTGGATTCTCCATTCTTAGCACTGCAAAGCAAAAATTATGTCACAATACATGCTAGAATTACATAACATGAGCAGAAAAGAATGGATTTAAACATCTGCTCTGTTCGAGAAAACCTTATACAATTTTTTTGCACTGTTGTTCCTCTGATATACACAATGATCTGTTTTTGCTTAAAAAAATCAGAGAATTCCACAATCCAACACCCATACAACACTGACATTGTGCACCGGCAAATGTCAGTATTGTGCAAAGATAACAAAAGAGCCTTCGTGGAGATATCTTCAAAAGAAGGCATTGGTTCACAATGGGCTGTTTGGCCACCTATGATGATGATGAAATTGTCAGTTCGATGAAAATTTTTTCAGAAGCATCTTTTCAACTTAGAATTCATTTTGAAAAAGTAAAAAAGGTAAAAGGTTTCCTACACTGGGCTGCAGAAAATGACAAATATATGTTCACCTGATTCTTCATCTCATTCACGAATCATGAGACCAATTTAGATCACTTGCATAGATTGTGAAGCTATGTATTCCTTGCAATTTACATAATGCATTACAAAAACTTCATGGACTGCATTTTCTTTGTCAGGTAGCATCCATGAAATTTTTGATGTAATTAAACAGCACTTTAGGTCTAATCCACAGCTTAATCATAATTTTATCTTAGCCATGATCATATAGTAAGTGAATTACACTGCATGTAGACACAAAACTTCTCCCATGTAATAAAATACTTTTCTCCCATGCATTAAAAATGATTTAAAGATACTACTGCTTCCAAACATAACATAATCAAAATTCATAATATGCACTGCTTTTAAATGTTCAGAGAAAAGACTTTTAAAATCATAATTCTCTAATTAAAGATACAGAAAAATTTTTAACTAAAACCTTCAGACTCCAAAAGCCCTGCAGGCTATTGCAAAAAAAAAAAAAAAAAAAAAAAAAACTATAATACTTACTTTTTCCTGTTTATGAAGTTCAAGAGCATATTGCATGTCCATTATCTCAGAAAATGACAAAGATTCATTTGAACTTTTTTCTAATGGTACCTTTAGCTCTGCAGAAGTGAATTCCTTGTTCTTGAAAAGAGGTACATTTTTCACTTTTTCTATAAGCCAATAAAATAATTATGAATAAATGATTCTTAAACTATATAAAAATATTTTTATAGTTTTTCCAGATTAAAAAGATAAAAAAGGATAGATGACTCTGGGGGAAATACAAATCTTGTATTATTAACTAAATAAGTGCAGAATTTCTTAAAATTAAATTTATGACTGTAGCAATGCAAAAACATATGTTATAAACAAAATTGCACTGCAATTTCTGAATTATTCCCAAATAAATTGCATGTGTCTAAATAAAACTTTCCCAAGCAACAATAAGATGTTAGCTGAATGAGTGCTAAACACAAACCAACAGCCGAGATGCAGGCAGGATCCTACATGTGGTGTCATCATGTCTTTGCTTCACTCATTCTCCAAAAACATAACTTATACTAATGAGCAGTAGGCAGAATTATGCTTAGATGAAACTTTTGTTTTATGCATTATGTTCTTGAGAATAATGAAATAAAAACCAAAAAAGTATAAAGCAATCTATGATTTTGATACAATATTAAGCGAGTAAGCAATGAAAGGATAATGATGATAATAATGACTTAATATTAAGCATATTTTTCAAGCAAGTTAAACACTATCTTGCTCTATTAAAGCAAACTCAGATGATAGTTCTTAATACAAAACAAAACAATTCCTGGATGGGGGGACTACTTTTTTAAGGGACTCTTTAAGACAGGTATTCTTTTTTTCAAAATTCTCCCCCCCCCATTAAAATTTACAAATTGACTGAAATGACACAGATTTAGATCAGAGCTGATCAATCCATCGACTGCAGGCTATTACATTCGTTTTATATTTTTGCCATGCATTGGTTCAACATAACATATATGAAAAAAGTAAATCAAGCTATCAAATTATGTCACAATATTAGTAGTTCATGCTCACAAAAATATGAGATATGTCTGATATAGATAGATCCACATGCATGCAAATTCAGAAAACTATTATATTTCATTCTTACATTTTAATAGCATTGCTCTTATAAGGATAAAAAATATAGTATACATTTCTCACCCTCCTTTTTGGAAGACTTCAATTTTGTTTCAGAAGTTTTTTTCCATTTATCATAAATAAGTTTAGCAAACTCCATATCAATTTCAACTATGCGATCAGAAGCAGACAGAGGGCCTATAAACATATTATTACAATAATTAGACAATGTCTAAAGCAGCTTAATTAAATAAACTTAGAAAGCAATTTAACAAAAATTTGGAAATTATTAAATGATTTTAAATTTGCAATGTAATAATTCTAAAAGAATACCAGAATCTCAACATGCCAAAAATTTATAAATTGCAAGCAACAAAACTTAATACAATTTATAACATTTGTAAATAGCAAATCCCTGCAAATGATAATACAGTTTCATGATTGAAAAGAGGATCAGCCATGGTGATAGAGTTTAAGTCTTTTTTTTTTTTTTAAAAAAAAAAGGTAAAACTGTTATCCATTGCAATGCAGCAGCAAAATAACATTCACCTAAAGGCATACAGCAGTTTTGCCCTCTCCCTCAATGCTTATGCCAGGTAAAAATGAAAAATAAGCATAACATGATGAGATTGAAATAAACTTCATCCTGCTATAGACATGTAATCAAGATGTTTCTAATGAATGTCTATTATACATAAGATAACATTAAAAGTATGTAGTAAGAAATTAATAATTTATTTGGGTATTTAAAGCAAATCATTATTATTATTATTTAAATATGTAAGTCTAGGACAGAATTAACATCTTTTACAAATAAGCCAGTCTCTTACCTTGCCACAAAAACCACATACAAAATCTAGAAATTTCCAATCACACTCTCTCTACATCTTTATATATATATATATGAAAAAAAAAAAAAGCATCATTAGAGGGATGATGATCCTGTATGTTAAAAATACAAAAATAAAAATTACCATCTGATGAATGTGTAGTAACAGGACCAAATAATTCTTCTAACTGCCAAGCAAATGCAGGATCTAAAATAAGCTGCATATTTTTGAAAGGTAATGCAGCAGATGAGTTTCCTGAAAGTGTGTTATTTTCAAGCTGCATTTCTAACAAGCTAGTTTTTTTTAAATTATCCGAATATTCTTCAGAATTTACATTAAACTCATCAATTTTGAGTTTTTTACTTTTTTCTTGATTATCAATACTGCAGATTTCCTCTTCAGAATTTTTTAAATTAGAGTCTGACGAAAGATTTATATTAAATTTAGGCTTTTCTACATCATTTGCACAAGAAACTTCATTCTCTTTTCGGTTCTGTACATTATATTTATAGCCCCATTCTAAAAGTATATTACTTAGCCATGATTCATCACCATGACATATATCTAAAAGATGAAGTAAATCTTCTTCAGATATATCTGGAAAGCATTCATGTAGATGACTTAGCTTTTCATATTTTTCAGAATCACATGCTAAGTCAGCAGTGCTAGTACTTTTCTCAAACTTTGCTGTTTGTGGGATATTATCATAAACTATGTCACTGGAACATTTTTCTTGCAACTCATCTATAATTGTACTTTTATTACAAATTAAAATTCTGTATTCAAGAGGGCAGTCTAATAGTGATCCATTTTCAAGTTTGCATATTATCACAAAATCATTAGGTTCTGTTTGTGTGCAAGATGTTTTAACAGAAATTGTATTGTCTTCTTCTTTTTCTTCCTTGTCAATATTATATCTTGCAAATTCTGGAAATTTCCAATCACTATCTATCTCCCCAACATTTTTCAAAAAACGAGGTATCCATATTTTGGTATTATAGCTATACCTAGCATCGGATGAATTTGTATTTTGTTCCTTATTTTCTTCTGTTTTTACATCATTAATATTCTGCACGTTTCCCAAATCATATGAATTTTGAGCTTTGTTTTTAAATTTAAAAACATCCTGCATATCACAGATATTTCTTTGTGGTTTTGGTGAATTTTCAATTTCACTATTTGAATTTTGGGATGAGTTATCATCTGTAGCTGTATCAGACTTTGAGGAAACAGTTTCCCATTCAATGGAATCATCAAATGTCACAGGAGTTTCTAAAATTTCTAATTTTTCCTGCATATGTGCATTGTTAGCTGAATTTCTACTGAACATTAAAGGCAAATTTTTACCTGACCTTTGTGGTTTAGGTACTGTAGGTTCTAAATTCTCACTTTTAATAGTTCCAGTTTCTTCAGTTATACTAAGTGGTTCAATAACACATATATTAAGATCTGAATGCAAATTTTGTAGTGAATAATTATTAGCATTAATCAACTCATCCTTCTTTTCCAGGTTTTTAGAAACCTCATTCCTAATTTCAGAAGACTTAACATTGCTATCACAATCTACAGCACATTTAAGTTGAAATAATTTAGAAATTTCAGCTACCTCATTTCTCACTGGAGCATTAACATTAAATATATTACTATCAGAAGTATAATTTTCACTCATCCTAGTTTCTGAATGGCTGAAATCTTGTTCATCTGGAAAATTAGCTTGCTTTGAAAATGAAAGTAAAACTTTTGGATTTAAATTCAAGGAAAAATTTTCTTCATTTAGGTTGAAAGATATATCTCTATCTTTTTTATTAATAGTTGGACAATTTTCTTCATGAGCTGAATTAATGCTATTTAAATTAGATTGCTGCATATGACTTTTGTTATCAGACAGATTTTCTGCAGAAGCAATATTAATTTCTGATACGTCTTGAAAAAAGTCGTTAGTGAAAGAATCTTCCTCAACCAGATTTAAATTTGAAAGTTTTGAGGAAATATTTTCATAACTTTGAGATAAATCATTCTTCTCGTCTTCATTTTCTTTTAGTAATCTCAGAAAATCCATCTCATTATTAGATAATGAGTTTTCCACTACATCACATGAAGCGTTTCTCCACAGGAAATCATCATCGTGCTCTGTTATGGATTCCCAACAAGAGACATCTTGATTAGAACCGTTCAAAGAATCATTATGACTTACACTCTGAGATTCTTCACTATCTTCTCTCATTAATGCTCTTAACTCATCCAAATTATAAACTGTTTTGTCTTTAGAAGACAAAGAACCACATATGTCATTACTCTCAAAATCGCGCATGAATTCTTGATGCTTGTCAAGTTTATTACTAAAATCGCAGTCTTGGTTTATTAGTGATGAAGTCGAATTTGTTTCAGGAAGCTCAGATGAATCGACAGAGCTCTGGGAATATGACATACAATCATCCAAACTAACTGCCTTATTAGACAATAAATCACTGGGATCTTCTTCCTGATGAATTACTGCTTCAAAGGATATGCTTTTTCCTTTCTCCTCACTACTATCATGACTTTCACTGTTATCAGAGTATATTTGCCTGCTATCTTTAACTGGAAATTTTACCACATCAGATTCAGTTGATAAATTTGACTTTTCTGAATTCATCAAATTTAAAGACTGCATAATACTCTCTACATTAACATTACGCTGATATCTTTCTTTCATTTTTGCAATTTTTTCCTTAGACACATGATGCTTATTTCGCTTTGCTAATTCTTTTACATTAAATTTCCATGGAGTATTAGGTTCTAAAATCACTATTTCATAATTAAATTTTTTACCAAGAAAAATATATGGTACCATTTCCCAAACTTCGGTATTTGTGTTATCAATAATAACAGGAGTTACACCTTTCTCTAAAGCATTTCTTGTACGAATTTTATTCCAAGCATGTGCTTCTGTAAGCTGATTTGGATCAAAAGCATATTTTCCTTTTTTATAAAAGAAATCATCTGTGCTAAATACAGCACCAGAAAATTTCATTTTCCTGGCCAGAGAACTTTTACCAGAACCAGGTAGTCCTCTTAATATTATTAATACATTCTGACCAGACTGAATTTTTTCTATAGCATATCTCAAAGCATCTTTTTGATACTTTTTGGTGCCTTTATCTGGCAAGGATGATGACTGCTTATTTGGAAGGCTACAGAAGTGGGGCTGATTATTTTCAGGACTATATGGAGATTTACCACCTGACTTGTGTTTATGGGAAGAAGTAGGTAAAAAAGGGGTAATAAACTGAGGTTTGGAGTCGGCAAAATGTTGGTTTCCATATGAAAATGCAGAAGGAGAAATAGGCATCAACATACTATGACCTTCCTTTACATCATTAACGTATTCATTAGATTTTTTTGCATTTAACTCAGAATTATCTGGTATTCGACACATTGAACTGCTTTGATATATCCAGTTTTGATGAGTATGATTCAGGCTATTGGTTTGTACTTCTGACTTATGTATGAAATCATTTTTTTTTGTCCAGTTGCAGTCACTAATCCAATTTCCTATTGAAGCGTTTCTAGTATCAGGAAGATACTCCACAGATTTATTGAATTCATTATCTCTGAAAGCATCCTGATATTGTGTTTCAGGATTTGGATCAATTTTCTCTTTGTTAGTCTCATTAACTGTTTCTGAGCAGTCCACAGATTTCTGGCTTAAAGACTGTTCCACATTTCCTTCATTGGCAAGGGACATTAGGGTTTCACAAGCTTGATCAACTAAATAGGAAAAAAAATGAGGGGAATTACTAAAAACTCCTATGATTGCAAAGTAAGTAATTAAGAGCTATATATCAAAAAGTACCAAGTAATTTGTTTCATACAATGAATGTTTGAATATATATATATATATATATATATATATATATACACACAGCAACAGAGACGTCCACATGTAACTTGCATGACTAGAGAAAAAATGTATTATAAAACTACAGAAATTAGTATGATAATAAATAAAATATCTCTTCATAAATGCAGATAAGTAACAAGGGATAATTTTAACTACATGAAACAAACAGCAAAATATACATGGATTCAAATATTTAGAATGTTTTACTGTCATTTGATATCTACAATATAAAAATAGAAAGGAATTTTGAAGTGTTGATTAAAGCATGTGGTTTCATGAATATTATAATTAGTAGTATGCAGTGACATATATTATGGAATTTCAGAATGGTGAATGCAATAAATATCAATAACATACAAATAAAAGTAATATATACAAATATAAAAAGATCTATGTAAAATTTCTCAGAAAAAGAATTCCTTGCTTATTTTTTGAAATGTATTAAAATCCATTAGTAAATACATTATTATATATATTTTTTTCATTAGAAACTAATTAAAAAAATTAAATAGTTTAACACAATATCTCATTCATATAAAGCGAATTAAGTGTTTTATTTATGTAAATTCAATTGCAAATAAATAAAATTATTTCTACTGCAAACTAATTTGCAATATCATTCAAATTCAGAAAACAGATGTAAATACAGATCAAACATATAAATACATGAAAAAATATTATACAATCCAAAAATTTATCTCAAAATCTTTATTTTTTTAACTAAATTTAATTTGCATAAAGTGAATAATTGTTGAGCTGGCAGGAGACATATCTTTCCAACAGGAAGTTGCTCCCAAACCTAACTCTTCAATCATTCAATTCGTGTTTCATCATCCATATAGGTATGGGTTATGAATTCTCGTAAGTTCTATATTTTAAATATTATTTAAAGATCTAAATTGCCGATTTTTCTGAAAAAAAAAAAATCGAATGCATGCCTTTTTGTTATGCCATCTTTTCTAACAGGAAGTGAATTTTAATTGACTTTTTCACCACACCGGCAATTGTTTGCGATGTGATTATCTCAGTCACATATTCCATTGAAAATTAAGAGCCAACTTAATTTAATCTTAGGGTTAAATGGTCAATGTAATGTATTCCAAGAATTTTTAGAAAAAAACAATGGCTAGATCAATGCTGCATGATTTTTTTTAACACTGTTAACAGTAAACATCAGTTTCTTCGATATTTTATGACTGTCAGTTTTAGAAACATTTAAAGGTACTGCATTTTTTCAAAATACCCTCAAACAACTATATCAGAGAGTAAATTCTAATTTTGAATTGAATTATTTTGGATGCTTTGCAGAGTCATTAAGATTTTTTATGCTAGAAATGTGAAAAATATATGATGCCCTCACTGGGACTCGAACTACGGACATCCCAAATACATGTCGAGTGTGCTTCCAGTTACACCACGAAGACATGCAGAAAGAGAGAAAATGTACTTTATGTACTCCCCTTTTTAAACAGCAACTGGGGATGAGGGGACCCAATCATTAAATCCTGGAGTCAACAAACTATTGTCATCACCTTTTAATTCGGGTGCCACAGTAGTATCATTAGGATTTTTGATCACTGGAGATGCGAAAAATATGCTTGCCCTTGTCGGGACTCCAATTTCACACCTCCCGAATAGGCATAGAATGTGCTTCCAGTTACATCACAAAGGCATGCAGAAAGGAGGAAGAAAATACCTTATAACATTAAATAATTTGCTACAAAAAATATATCAGTTACTAGTATTTTATATTCAAATGATGAATTAAATTCATAACTGTTAATGCCACATTGTACAGTAACTAAGTAATCAGTTATAAACTGATTTTCTGGCTGAAACAAATTGATGCTGCAATATTTAGACATTCATCTTTGAATACATTAGTTTTCATATAAAAAAGTAACAATAATTTTGATGGAATTTTAAGGGACATTAATGCTGCTACTATGCTATAATTTGGAATTCCTATGGAATTAAGAAACACTTGGGGACATATGTGCTTGAAAGAAGACTCTCCTCATATTTTCAGACACATTTTAAGAAATAAAAATGTACGTCAATATTGATTTTGGCTTACAGTAATTCTGGAAAAGAAGCTTAGACTTTTTCCTTCCATCCTCCAAAATTTTCTTGAAACAGTATTATTAGCTGTGGTTCAAGAATATTGTTAACTACAGTACACAGTCCGTAATGCGGAAGTTCATTATCCAGAATGATCTGTAATCTGAACCTCAAAGCCACAAACTTTTTTTTGTATGCTTTACGCATGCACATTGGGAGGATATGTGTCCAGATACGTTAAAAAATGCTTGGCATAATTTATGGCCAGCTACCATATTTCATGGTGAGGACGACGATGATAGCCATGAATTTGAAGGTTTTCAGACATCGCAAACTAAACGCAAAATTTTCCAGTTATTGGATTTTGTAAAGAAATGTGGAGAAGCGGTAATAAATGAAGATGATGTAACAGAAGTTTTTCATTGCGATGACAATGCCTCAATCATCAATCAATTAACAGATGGCAAAATCTGTAGTATGGTTCTAGATCCAGAAAATACTGCTTCCGATACTGAAGAAAGTGACAGAGAGGTTATTGAAAACGAAAAAATTTTGACTGAGAAGTTAGTCGGTATTCTCGACACAGCAACTACAGGACTTGAACAGTGGAACTTTGTAACTGAACAAGAAACTATATATGTTTATAGAATTAAGAGAACGTATTAGAACAAAAAACGCAGCAACTTAAACAACTTGCATTGAAAGAAATGTTTAATAAAGTAAATAAATAAATATTAAGCTTTTTTTTGTAAATTTTGATACCCTTTAGATCATAATTGTTCTTTATTTCATAAATTACGGTTTCATATTTTTAATTTATAATTTCTGTATGCCATCTTACTAGATTTAAATTGATGATCTATAATCGGGAAAACCCCCTAATCCGGAATCGCCTGACGAGTCCGGATTACAGACTTTGTACTATATTTGTTTTTATGCATACCACTGGTTCATACTATGCAAACAAGCCTACACTAAAATAGCTTGATTAAAGGTGGCTATTATAATTATTAGCAATTGTGCATTTTATAGATACAATAATTACATATGTCATTTATTTAATATTTAAACAATGTAATTATCCTATATAATATGGTAATTAAATTTCTTCCTCTCATTCAACTGATTTTGTTTATAAGATACTAATCAATTTTAGAAAACAAGTTATTTACTTCTCATCTAGAAACTTTACATAACATTGTTGATAATATTTCAATGAATTTATTGTAAGAGTTTATATTTTAATTATTTTAGTGACACATTTGAACTTACAGATATAATATTCAAATTTATTTACTACAGCGCAAAGTCCGAGATGAGAACTCAGCAATTCAGGATATTAAATTATCAGTTTAAATCTTGTATGAAACAGTGATTATAAAATAATGAAGCATTTATGACCTTAATGGAATCAAAATTTATAATAAAAAACTTTTTATATATATTTATATTGTTTTTTAAGTATTTATTTCAATATAAATTGCTTTGTTCTTTTGAGCTAATACTTTTTTTTTAATTCAACAGATACATATTTTCTTGTTCAGTTACAAATTCTTCTAAGTCCTTCAACTGCAGTCTCAAGAGTTTGCAGTAAACTGTAAATCAAAATTTTTTTGATTCTCAGCAACCTCAATGTCATTTCCTTCACTAACGGCAGTGATACTTTTTGGATTTACAATCATACTAAAGATTTTGCTATTTGTTAGTTGACTCATGATTGGGCACTACCATTACAATGAAAAACTTGTCATATAATCTTCATTTAGTACAGTACAAAGTCCGCAATCCAGACTCGTCGGGACTTCGGCAATTCCGGATTATAGATCATCAATTTAAATCTGGCAAGATGGCATGCAGAAATTATACAACTAAAAATACAAAACTGTAATTTATGAAATAAAGAGAAATTATGATCTAAAGGATATCAAATTTTAGAAAAAAAAAAGCTCAATATTTATTTGTTTACTTTATTAAACATTTCTTTGAACATGCACTTGCGTAAAGCATGCATTATGTATGCACATTCTCTACACGCATACGTAAAGTTTGTGGCTTTGAGGTCCGGTTTATAGATCATTCCGGACAATATTACAGACTTTGTACTGTACCACTTTTGGTGTTTAATTAACTACTAGACACCCATTTAGAAAAATTAACTCTTTTAATAAATCGAAATATATACATAGCATTAGGATAACATAAATCTCAATGATCAATACGGTGTGTACATGGACTTGTAAAAACAGAATGCGAAAGTTCTCTTTTTGCAGTCACGTACAAATGAGATTCTTATCGCGCATGCATGAGGAGGAGAACTCAAGGCGCTGAAGAAATGGGGGGGGGGCTGTTTCTTAGAGTGATTTTTAGTAGCAGTCAGGCAAAGATGTTCTAGGAAGTCACTCCTCGGAATGTTGCTGTCAGGACGCATAAAGAAGTTTGACCATACACCAGTTCAGCTAGAGAGCAGTTAAGTTCCCCTTTAAAGTGGTCCGAAATCCCAAAAGAACTGAAGACAATAGGATAGTCCAATGTGCAGATGTATGACACATTGTGATTTGAGCGATCTGTGCTATCTTTCAATGATGCCGTTGGCTTGTGGGTGGTAGGTGGTGGTACGAGAAAGGCGAATACCAGAGTTCTTGGACAGTTCTCGAAATAGTTCACTGCAAAATTGACTACCACGATCAGTGGTGATCTGGGCAGGCACACCGAATCTTGAGATCTAGCCAGCATAAAAAGCAATGGCAATGGTCTTTGCCAGTGTATCTTTCAATGGATAGGCTTCAGACCAGTGAGTATACCTGTT